TTTTTTTTTTTTTTTTTTTTTTTTTTTTTTTTTTTTTTTTTTTTTTTTTTTTTTTTTGTCTAAAAACAGTTGATTTTTGTTAATTTTAACCTTTTTTAGGAGTCACAGAAGTTGGTTTATATCCAAACTAAAGTGAGCTTTTTTTTTTACTAAATTCTTCCTGATTTACACCACAAACCTCTGCTTTAAAATGCCTTCCAATCAATCATCTGTACTTTCTTGTGGCTAATGCTCAAGGCAATCGGTTTCACTAACATTAAGTTGCTTTCACCTCGGCCCGTTTTCGGTCGTTCCTCGCCGAGTGTGAGATCTCACATTAGTTGGAGAGGAGGACGAAACATCCTTTATAAGGATGTAACTTTTTCCTTGCCTTTTAAAACCTCGAGAGGAAACCTGGGAGGGAAAATCTAAAGAGGATAATATCGGTTAGCAGTGGGCTTGGACTATTTCGTCAGTTTCTTTTGTCTGGTGGATGAAGTTTTTGTTGATTATAAACACTTTCCGGTGTTTGGTCCAAGTCATTGACTCGACTTAGAGTTAGGTTAGGTGGAGTGAGCTAAAATGTCTTACTCTCCGTTTGGCCTACGTACTTCACAATGACGACGACGATCGAGGGTTTACCAATCTTTAATTGGAATAACATACCAACTTTAGAATTTCAGATTAAACAATCGTGCACCCTAAACACATTATTTACCTCTGTGATCCCTAGACTAAACAACTCCTCTAGACGTAATAACTATGCATAAAACATCCAAAATGTCATCTTTTAATCATTTAATAAATGTTTTAACGCTTTACATCAAATTTTAAGTTTAACAAAAATTAGTAAAATATGATAATATAACAATAGAAACTCATGTACCACATGGTGGTCGTCTTTTTGGATGAGCTCCACGACGAAATCAAGGTACACCAAAATGTGGTTGATGAGGAATTATATCGTCATAATCTTGTTGTGAATGGCTGAAAATGGAGATGGTACGTAATTATCTTTATGATTTCGAGAACTTAATGCAATGTTCATTTGAACTTTTTGACGAGTGTATATGAGAAATTGAAATCTAATCATCAACGGTAGGGTTTTAGTGTGGCTCTGAAATACTTTCAGATTGTTGTCGTTGACATCTACGATGAACTCTTCTCCTATCAGTGTTAGCCATAGTTAGTCTATTGGTTCGTTGAATGATATCATTTAGAGTTATTGACCGAGTATTATTGTAAATCTTGAACAAAATTATTCTACACAAAAAGATGTTCATATGCTGTTATATAAATAATATAAATGAAACGTGACAACACGAAAATCAAGTAAAGTATTCTCTACCATACAAGCGTAATAAGCTCCGCCATGTGTGTTATACCTCATTGTGATTTGAGTTCATATTAATATGCATTCATAGTTGACCTATCTACTATGTTGGCTAATAGCTAGTACACAATGGTCACATGTACGATGTCACAACCTCATTGAGAGAAAGTAAGTTGTGATCCTATCAAGACAAACAAGGGGCAACCCTCAAGTGGCGCCCATTGGCCACGTGAGGGCCAAGATTGTGAAGTATCATGATGCGACTAAGGAGGACGGTACCAACACACGAAGAGTGTGAATTGAACCTAAGTCGATTCATACACAAATATTGAGACAATGGCAACACGAGTGTCAAAGACAAGTTCGAAGAAGGCCGAATAGGACCTCTGGCCATAACCTCAAAAGTTGGAGTTTCGATACGAGTTTCGGCTTGCGACTCAGGAATTAAGTCCATTTATATAAAAGATGAAAGACCACCAAATTTTGTTTCAATCAAATACTTGAAAGATGATGCACGAGGCTATATGTCCTCGTCAAAATAATAGCTACTCGAGAAGGATTGAAAATGCCAAAAATTTACTATAAGGGGAGGCATAGTAATAGTTCTTCACCACCACCCCGGGCTTTATGGCCTAAGCGAGCTACCCTATGACACTTTTAATCTTTCTATCAAGTTTTGAAGAGAGCATATCTATATGAGTTAAGTATAGAAATGAAAGAGCTCATTTTGTTTATTTATTAGTTCTCGAGATAAAAGAATAGAAGAAAGAGATTGAAGAGAAGGCGATGGAACCTGGAATGTAAATAAATTGTTTTCATCCATATCCTAATGGTAAAAAAAAAACTTTCGAAAGTTCTAAAATATTATTAAGACGAGATACACAGTTAAAGAGTATAGATAACGATTTTCGTTACCGAGCACTAAAAGTAATCCGCACCCGCACGCACCAATAATATTCCAACTTTGGATATTAAAAACTAAAATCTTTTAAAGCGTAAGCTTTGTGAATAACAATCTATAAGTTTCCTAAGCCTTAAGATTCATTTAGTTTCACTCCTACTATACAATACAAGAGGTCAAAGTTCCCACAAACTCTGTACAATAAAAGGCAAACAAGAAGAGTGGAATGAAGAAAGCTCTTGGACTTTCAACTAATCCTGCGAGTCACACATATCATTCCACATTCTTTCTTTTATTACCCCTTCACAACAACAACAGATCAAAGCCAAGAATGATTTGCCGCCTAGCGCGCTTGCCAGGAACGCAGTAATACTTCAACAAACAAGCACAAACAAGCACGAACAAGCGATCGACGATCCCCCGTCCCCCTGATCCAATTTTGGTCATTGTCTTGGCGTTCACCTCCAGTGGCTGGTGCAGGTTGCTACTCAGAGGCCTTGATTGTCAAGGAGCTTCCGTGCTGCTGTTCAGAACTCTCCTTTCCATCAGCTTCATTTTTCTTCGCAAAACGCCCTCCACTGCTCCTCGACCTTCTTATGGCATGCTGGTGTCTAGACTCGTGAAGGTATGGCTGTCGAATAAGAAAAGTGAGCAACATCGCCAAAAAAGATGGGCATCCATGTTTATTAACCAAACTGCTGGCACTTGATTGATTGAACTGGTTTAATTAGCATACCGAACCACGACTGAACAAGAACATGCCAAAGGGTGCCATGAGATATTGAACATGATCCAGTATAAGCTAAACTATATCCCAATACTACCTATCAATATTGTCTATCAGAGAAAAGATCAAGCATCAACCCTCCTTCCACACACAAAAACAATCCAGTCCAACAAAAAGATACAAAATCCACCTTTCTAGCTTTTATCAACTTCTTTTCAGCCTCGGCTTTTGCACGTGCTTGCCTTCGCCTCAAAATTCCTTGGTATTGCTTTGCATTCACGAAAACGGGGTCTTGTGCTATCTCAATGGGCAATGGCATTCTAGCATGTGGCGCTCCGACCATAGGATAGCCCTGTCAATGACAAAAATAAATTTCAAAGCATGAAAATTCTGTTAAGACTTTATGCAATAGAAACATCAGCTCTCCGTGTATGCTGAAGCTATATTAGATATAACAAATTATCACATGATACAGTCCTTTTTGGGTTACAAACTACACAGTGAGAAACAAAATTTGAATGAAGAAGTTTTAAATTTTAGAAGCATTGCCCTTCGACCTAATCATGGTCTGAAGAGAAATGGATGTAAAAGTGTAGGTCTTAATCCAAATCATCAGCATAGACCACTCAGCATTCAGTATAATATTTCATGAAACATTCATGAAAACAACCTCGGAAGTAAAAGAAAAAATTTAACTGATGTGTGACAGCAAACAAATTGCATTCTACAGGTTTGGAAGCACAAGCACCATTTCTCATGAAAGTTGGACCAAGAATGGGACTTGAAATTCAATTTCTTGGTAGGGTCAAGAGTGCTACATGTGTGAATTAGAAGTGCCATTTTGATTTTGATTTAAACATCTATGTTAAATGCGCAGAGCCAAGTAATTGTAGAGATAATGACGGTGAAACCAGTCTCGGGTTTGTATGAAGTTGAGATAATTACATACCACGGGCTGATGACCATAGAAAGCCATCATTCCCCCATAATATGGATCCTGATAGGGATTTGATGCACAAGCCTGCAAACGTATGTCAAGAAACACAAGAAATTCTTCAATAATATTATACAATCGTAACTTGGCCATTGGAATCTATGAATCCGGGACTAGAATCACAAAAGTTGTACTAACAAGATAAAGAGTTTTCTAAGACTGGACAGCAATTGAACTTACAATAGAGTGACCAACAAGTTCAAGTTGTGTCGACTGTGTCAGACTTTCACCGTGCATAGCTGGCAAATTGGATGAGACATGCTGCATCTTCTGAGCATCCTGTCTGTAGCTTCCCGCTGAAATCGTTGAGATGCTATTGTTATTCGGGCATAAACAGCCATATGAAAATTTTCTTATTCTGCACGTTACTTCGTTGCTATTTTTTAAATAATTTACAACGTAACAAAAGTATATCACAATATGGTAAGCCTAATAATTATCAATGCGCGTGTTTTGATGGTATTCTAAAGCAGCCATCAAAACACAAATATCTGAAAACAATAAAGGGTCAAATAATTCTACCTAAGTTGACTTTTGACTTCCAAAGTTGTTATCTCAAATTTCACAATAACACCTTCAAATAAGTTCAGATTCCACATTGTCAGGCACAAAACAGAAAACCTCAATGACTGAGTTGCTTATTGAAGAGGGAACTTTCTCTAACAGATATGAGTTAAAGATGTACCAGAATGAGGAGATCCAGTAGCTTGCACTTCTTTGGAAACATCATCTTCTTCGTCGTTTACATCATTATTAGACACAGATTGGCCATCATTTGACTCTGAACCACCATTAGGGAATTCAAGAGAAGTCGAACTGGAAGCATTTCCCCCAACCACAGGTAACGGAAAAGGACTGTACCCCATAGAACTGCACCAGGGTTCGTAATAGATAGTCGTGGATGGAGCACCATTTGGATCAGATTGGAGCTGATTATTGGTTTCTGACTTTGACTGCATACCTTCAAACCCTTTGAAACAAACAAAAGAGCCTCAAGTTCTCAATTATCAACGTGTAAATTTTGATAACCAACAGTTAGAAAAATAAAAAATATAAAAAAACCCTTTGCTATCTCCGGTAACAATTTAAGTATTATTCCATATTAATTGTAATCTTAGCTTCCAATATCATCCATGATCCGTTGTTTCAATTTATGATAATCATAAATTGAAAGCTAACACAAATCCTTGTCATAGTCCAAAACGGTAGAAC